TAAAATATAATTTTAGGAATATTAGACATTATTTTTAGACTATACCATTAATTTCAGTTTCAATAATGATCACTGTGATCCAATGTGCCTCCACATACATTTTTTTTATTCTAACCTATACAACCGATAATTAGGTAGTAATTTATCCCTTATATTATTTGGTTATTAAGCTATTATCGCGGGCTTTGAGCGCGGCGACCGAATCAAGAAATTCCGTAACGAAAAAATCTAAGACCCGAAAACCTAACATCGTCTAACGTCGTTTAAGTTCGGCAGGTGTTTGTGTGCGTGCTACTAAATTGTATTGTATTGTAAGAAAATAAAAAATATTTTAAACAATAACATAGTTTATTGCAAGAAGCATATTCTTTGGATTTATATGAGTCGTCGTCATGCTAGCAACTTTCGTGAATTTAGAGTATTTAATAAACACAGACTTTATAGAAAATTATCGTTTGTCGGAAAAACTAGTTAATTACCATAAACCTATAGTTTCAATGATAAAAATTCCTGAATAACCTACATCTATTGTAAGATAATAAAATATTTTAAACAATATTAACTTCTCATTTATTCAATAAAAGAAAAAAATTGTTTTCTTATCGGTCACCACTCTCAAAAAGTGTTACTTGAATTAATATCAAAGAAAAATACAAAGAAAAAAATAATGCACAAATAAAATAAATAATTATAATTGCATAAATTGATAAAAATGCTATGCAATAGCTTTACCGCGGCAGTCCCGAGTGCCACACGTATTTTTATGTTGTTGCGGCAATTTTTTGATAGAAAACATATACAAGTTGACCATAAATCTAATTTTGCACAATCAATTCACCAACGATCACCGTCAAAACTAAATTTTTATGTTTTTTTACTTTGACTTTAAATGTCGCCATCATAGTTCTCTTTGTTTAATATTCATTTGTAAATCCGTTCAAAACCCAATTTAGAACGCGTATCTTTAAAACTTGTAAAATATCTCTAAGTTGTGTTGTGTTGTTAAGTAATATCTCTAGTGTAATAGTTTCCTTACACATCAAATAACAGTTGTAATGCAGCTGTTATACAGGGTCAGGGAGTTTTATTACTGTACAGCTAATGTACATAGCTACTAACACATAAATCTGTATAATTTGTACTTTTTTTTTACTTATAAGAACTGTTTAAGCGCTTATACAGCCAGAAAATACAGCCACTAGTATAAAAACGACCTTCAATACAGGCTCGTATACAACTTGCATGCTGCTTAGATATTCAGTGATATTTCAGTGATTGCAAGGGTGAAAACTGAATCTAAGCTTTAAGTTGGAGAGCTCTAGTCTTAACAAGCTCTCTTCAAGAACTACAGACCGATTTCCCCTGTCAGCCACGGCTACGTGCTGTTTTCGAGAGTCATTACAAATCATCTCGCACGCAGACTCGACAACTTCCAGCCTCCCGAACAAGCCGGTTTTTGAAAAAACCTTACCATAGATCACATACATACCCTTTGGCAAATTGTACAGAAGAGCGAAGAGTACAATCTGCCATTTTTCCTTGCGTATTTGGATGAAAAAACCTTCGATTCCGTCGAAATTTGGGCGGTGCTGCAGTCCCTTCAGCGGTGCCAAGTTGATTATCGGTATATCGAAGTACTCAAGTGTTTGTACAGTAGGGCTACGATGGCTATCCGAATACAGAACCAGAGTACGAAACCAACTGCAGAGAGGTGTAAGACAGGGTGACGTTATATATTTATATATAATTAACAAGTTAACGAGTAATAGTAGACCAACTTATAAAATACACTTGGATTAGTAAAAATGTCGTTACAACTCCATTGAAAATGGCTTCAAACTAGTTTTTGTAATGTTATTGTAAACTGTAAGAAATCAACATTTTATGAAGAAAACGACTTCTATGCATTACTACTATAGACTTACTTTTTCCTTTGTGGGATCGGCAGGGAGGATCTTTCTTACTTACATACGGTTTATTCTGTTTATCCACCCTAGGGTGGATACTCGATATGGCGTGTTCGTTTTTTCGATATTCCGAATTCGTATATTATTTTTCTTCCGATTTTTCCCTGCGGCTTTGTATATTCGTTTATAAAACATGATAGAAACTGGCCCAAGATTGATTTTGATTTTGATTTATGATGAAAGAAATGTTTTACTGCAATTAATTTCAAATATATTTTACTGAAGTAAGTATTAAAATTAAATAAATATATTGTTAATTATATAAACACAGTATCGTAAATAGTATGCCACTTAAATTTTTAAATGTCTTTTATTGCCAGACTAATTTACAATTACGTCCACTCAATAATGAAATTAGTGTTCGTCAATTTCTGTGCATATTGCAGAATTTATAAATTACTTATTATTATAAAAACAAGGAAGTTTAATTTGGTTAAATGCAATACTAAAAATTAATCAATAATATTTTAAAGTATGAACATATTTTCTGTTGAACTGTACTTGGGGTGGAAAGGCGGAACGACAATTAATAAGTGAATTCCGATTATCCACCCCGTCTAGGGTGGATAAACGAACACGCGTTTCCGAGTATCCACCCTAGAGTGGATAAACGGAATAACACTTACATACTACTTTCGCTTATTATTTAGTTGCGAGTAATTGTAGGCATCATTCAAAGTATTAACACAATCTTATAGCCTTGGTTTACGTGAGCGACCCTCAGGGTAGTAAAGGGCAGTGATGAATTACGGGAAGGTTCGTTGCGGTCATATATATCTTAGGGTCGCACTGCCGGGAATATTTAGATAGATATCAACTATGACCATCTTTGTACGGACTTGGCATGTGAATGATTTGATGTTGATTGTATTATTTTCAAAAGCGAAAAGATTTTTATTTCATTTTTAATACCACTCCCTATAAGTCTTATTGGAAATAAGTCCTTCGGTTACCATCGTCCTATATGGGCCCATTTTTAGTCGTAGTAGCGATCAAACCGCGAACTCACTTAATATACTCATTAACAAGAAAAGCCTTTCAAGTGCACGTATTGTGACGGGCAACTACGGAAACCTCTACAGTGTGCGTGGCCCGAAACGCACTTGGCCGATTTTAATTTTTTATTTTAATATCGTACTAAATTTCTCCACTCTCAAGTTTCTCTCAAGTTGATAAAGAAGTCTCTCTTCAAAAATCCTTAAATGAGCAATAAAAATGTTGAAGGTCTACTTAACGGGATGAAACTATTCTATCACTCAAGTTGGAGCAAGCGATACACATTCACAAAATTTCTTCAAAATCGCTCAACCGATTTTAGAGATCAGCATGAACGAACATCGTGACACCGGATTTTTATATACATATTTACATATGCAGTTGAAAGTGAAATAAATCTTGTTATTATACAAAGTACAAATCTAAAAATTTTATGAATTATTGTCGAATTTTGACCACTAGTAAAAGTAGAAATTAGACGGCTCCATGACGCAGTGGCTTGATAATGAGTGGCGCTTAGAACCGCAGGTTAGAATCCCGCATAAAACAAATATTTGTATGGCCTATAAATAAGTAATTGTTCCGCTTCTGAATGTTTATCCTTTGAAATTTATGTATGTAAACTGCCCCTACGATACGTGAGAAACCCATAGTGTGGAAGCAATCTTTTAAATTAAAAAGAGATTACAGGCTGTGAAACATTCCACCTTGCTCCCCGGAGATGGCAACGCATCTGTAGCCTTCAAATTTGCAAAAGTTGCGTAGTTTAATACCTCCGTTTTAAAATGGCAAATTCAACTTTAAAAATGCTTTAAGTTTGTGTTTACAATTCAGTCATTTTTTGAAAGTCAATGTATATAATTTTGCTTCAATAAGTCCTTACGTCGTAAGACCTTGTGAGAAGAAGCAGCATGAACGTCACATGTATTTTTTTTCTACCAAAATCTACAATTTCACCTGAAATATATATATATATATATATATATATATATATATATATATATATATATATATATATATATATATATCGTATGAAGATATTAAAATTTAATGTAATGTGGAGTTATTACGGAAAAGGCTTTTAGAAAAGAATAGAATCATTGTTATTCAAATATAACTATGACTACTGGTTCGGAAAAAACCTCTGCCCAGGGAAGAACCAGCAAGAAACGTAGCGGGACATTTCTTTTAAATATAATTAATTTACAATATATCACTTCATACAATCACGAAAAATACACAGACTACATTGATAAGAATATAACTAATCGACTATAAACTGTGGTGAGACTAATTTAATAGCTGAGAATAATAATTAATTAGTTTCACGAATTAATTACCCGAAGAGTCGAGGATGAGCTATAGTTCATAAAAGATAGCTTGATCTCTGCGACAGCTGTCAATGTCATACTTTATGGGCATCTCCGACCTAATTAGTGCATGCCCATAAAGTATGACATTGACAGGTAGGTACTGTCTGTACTACTAAGAAATTCAGGACTTCATAGGCGTGATTTTTACTGACAGCTGTCGCAGAGATCAAGCTATCTTTTATGACCCATAGTACCGGAATACAACTATTGCATCGTGCCAAACCAGAGCCAAGACCATAGACCAAGTATATATATATAGGGCAGCCAAGACTGCCTTTACGGCGGCAGCTCCGTCCGTTTTATACAAGCAAAACAAGTAGTCACACGTCACACGGGCGTCACTGCAAGTGCAGAGTACAGGTATGTGGTGCACGTGTTACTGACAAGTATTCAGGCTAGCTACAATGTCGCTACTGCACTTGCAACGGTGCAGGCGCCGTCATATACACTAGTTAAAAAATCTAAAGAAATTCATTTTTTCCCACGCATTCTTATCTTTTAAATTAAGCTTATACATCAAAATCAGAGTCGAATAGACGCTGTAGTTTCAAGTATTTCCATATATAAAATACGCAGACGTATTGAATCCAAAACTTTATTTATGTTATGTTAATAACAAAATATTTTCTTTACTAAACAATTGATATTGAAAAATATGAAAGTATCAAGAACATGCTCGAGATGGCGAATTATACTGACGTCGCCTTGCTGCTGGCACCATTAAGTATCGTACATTCTTTTTGTAATATGGACAGGCAGGCTCATCGCAGCCCAAAATCTCTGCTTCATGAATGACAGGACCGCCTCTTTGCAGTAACTCATCTCCGAGAATTAATCTTCTAGCGCAAGCAAGTAAACAAGGACCACATACAGCTACGGCGCAAATTGCAGCTAAAAATTCCAGCAGTAACATTACAGATTCTTGCCACATTATTAACATGCTAGAGGTTTCCTCAGTTTATTTGTGATGTTATACATTCTTATAAATATTACTTAAGCAATTATAACCGTATACTTTCTTTTAATTACGATTTTTTAAATAATAAATTGATGATAAATGTAGAAACTCAAAAATTAAAAAGCGTTACGATCGATACTACAATATGGATAGCAACATGTCAATATGTCATATTGTATTGCTTTTAATTTTATTATTACATAGGTTTAAGTTGGGCTTGGGCCATAGACTTGGGCTATTATTGTGTCTTAAATATTAACATTTCTTAATATTGACTGATATAGGTAGATTAATTTTCTTCCCTCACAATGGCATTCAATTCTCAAAGAAAGAGACCGAAGAACTGCAGAATGCTGCCGTATTTTCACGCCGACTTTTTAAAATTCGAAGCCAAAAGATTTTTATTTAAAATTGGCCTTTTGAAAATACTTTCTGAAATAAAAGTCGTGAAAGTTACGCAATCATTTCCACACATCCTAACTGTTGGAATCTTTATGAGAAAAAAAACCAACAGTTGGCATTCATCCATGTATTACAGCTTATCAAAGTCCACTGTTGAACTTAGGGCTCTCTATAGATTGCATCTAAAGGGAGATATTTGCCACAATCGTCACGTTTGGCAGGCTTCTATCACTGATGTGATGCTTCAGGCCTTGGTTTGATCGCTGTTTGTGAGTGTTTTCAGGTCTGGGCTTACGCTTTGGCGGGCCGGCATATAAACACCAGAATTTCTGTAAGTCTTCACTTCCATCCTGCACAGGAAGGAAGACTCGCTGGCCCACGCCACAAAAGAGAAAGCCGACCTTTTAGGCTCCCTTTTTGCGTCCAACTCGACTTTCGATGACGGGAGGAACATACCACTGACCATCCCACAGTGTGAATGCTCTATGCCTGGTGTGTGATTAATATAGTGCTCAGTACACAAAGCTGTGAGTCAAGAGCCGTGGTAGCTCAGATGGTTAAAGCTCGCTGTAAATATAACAGAACGCGAGTAATCCGGATTCGATCCCCGCCGGCACTAATGAAATTGTTAATTGCAATTTAAAGTGCTGTTTTACGTGCGTGCTCGGCGGTGAAGTAAAACATCGTGAGGAAACCTGCATGCCTGAGGAATAAGAAATAAAATATTTCGAAGACATGTGAAGTTCACCAACACGCATTGGGGCAGCGCAGCGGACACATCCTTGCCCTAAAATCCTCTCGGAAATGAGGTAAAGCCTGTGCCTAGCAGCGGGACGTATATAGGCTGTAACTTTACTTTATTTTATAGCACACAAAGCAATTCTCTTCCTGGATAACAAGTCGAGTGGGCCTGACGGGGTACCCCAATTGTGCTGAGGATTTGTGCTCCAGAGATTGCGCCGGTTCCAACGCGTCGTTTCCGGTACTCCTGCTCCCTAGGCGTACTCCTGAATTCATGAAAGGCAGCTCTCGTGAACCCGATAACTAAAAATAGTAACCACTCTGATCCGTCCAACTACATGCCTATCGCCAATATTTGCTCATTGTTCTCTAAAAAAAAATTGAGTCCATTATTGACTGTCAGATCATGTGGTACCTTGAGGAGCAACAGCTTATTCGTGATGGCCAGTTACTGTCGGGGCCGTTCAGCTGGTGATCTTCTTGTTTACCTAACACACCGTTGGGCGCCGACGGTCGAGCATTCTATATCCACTTGGGCAGCTTGAAGTACTATCGTCATTATCTGTCCGCTTGGTTAAACTATCGTCAAAACTATGGAGTGTAGAAGTAAGGAGTACAGACTATGTATTAAAAAGTGCCAATAGAAAACCGTTAAATAAGGGTGGCGCCACTATAGCTACAGGCTAAATTTTAAAGAACGTGCCGAAAAATATTAGTGGGATAGACGACTTTTTCGAGGTTATATTTACTAAATAAAATTATTTTAGATTTCAGATTGCTATTGAGCGGTTTAGCAGCACACTTCAAACCGTCGACAACTGCTAAGTTCATTTTATCCCAGTAGCCACTTCAGCGTCTATTATTTTTGGGGTATCTGTATAGTTTTTTGGTGTTTCTATAAATATATAATTATAATTATGAAAAGATAAATATACATAATATATTTTATTGTGGGGAGAGGGGGGGGGATTATTAAAGAAAAGGATTATTATTATTATTATTATTATTATTATTATTATGCTGCTTACAAGTGGACACTTTTCCAACTATTCTACTATGGGAGTTAGTACTCCATACTTCTACACTCCTTAGTCAAAACCTTTGTAATATTCGCATAGACGCATCAGTATATTATGAGGAATTTATTAATCAAAGTACATATCAGGGATGACTGTACGAGTATGGTCTAAGACCTTTACCTGCCTTAATTGGCAAATAGTAACAATAACAATCACATTGTTGATATCATGGAGGTAAGAGAACAGGAGAAGGATCGCAGTAGAAAATAGTGTCCCAGAAATATGGACAACATAAATTAGGCGCTGCGATCGCTAAGTTTGCTCAATAAAAGTCATTTTCAGTCTATTTTTCCGATCAGATAATAAAATAATAAATAAATAAAATAATTTATTTTCTTCACAAAAATTAAATGAATGACATAGTTGACTGGGATTCATTAAGCAAGTAATCTTGTTTGAATCTCTTACTTCGACTTTATTTACATGGTTGTGAGCTAAACCACTTGCACATCCACGCACAATAAAATATTTATCCATTTTTTAATGTTTCTTTTTACCTGTTCCTTACCTGTACCTTGTTTGTAGGTACCTAAAAAATTACGGAGAATGAAAATTTTCTTACCAATGCCCCGAAGAAAATTTGTACATTATTCAACTAACTTCATCTACTTGTACTCATAAACAGCTTAATTCGCAGCCACTACGCACCGACAGCAGCACCGCTATAAATTCTACAAATTTTCAAGAACAGACGGGCTATGCTTTAGTACGTAGCGATCGTTCTCCTGTTCTCTAACCTCCATGGTTGATATCATGAAGGTTAGAGAACAGGAGAACGATCACTAAGAACTATAGTTCATAAAAGATAGCTTGATCTCTGCGACAGGTGTCAGTAAAATCACGCCTATGAAGTCCTGAATTTCTTAGTAGTACAGACAGTACCTGTCAATGTCATACTTTATGGGCATGCCGACCTAATTAGTGCATTACTGACAGCTGTCGCAGAGATCAAGCTATCTTTTATGAACCATAAAGCATAGCCCGCCTGTTCTTGAAAATTGACATTATGTAGAAAACTTTTTGTAGCTCTTGGCGCTGACGTTATTACGGATGAGTAGTACGCTATTGCTGCGGTATAAACAACGATTCTGCAAAGTTAGCTGTTTATGAGTACAAGTAGATGAAGTTAGTTGAATAATGTACAAATTTTCTCCGCGGCATTGGTGAGAAAATTACTATAGTCACAGAATAAATAATAGTACTACGCTGTAATTGCATCTGCCGCTGTAATTGCATCTGCCGCTATTTTTAGGTCTAAGCTGTATTAGACGCATGTGACAACTGCGCCTGACTAAAAGCACCTGTGGACTTATATTTGATTAACCTTAGCTTCATTTTCAGTCAAAGGCTTCACTTTCATAATTTTCCGTTTTCCGTTTCAGTACTTTATTAAAAAAATACGTGCGGCACTCGGTGACTGCCGCGGTAAAGCTATTGCATAGCATTTTTTATCAACTTATGCAATTATAATTATTTATTTATTTTATTTATGCAGTTAAGTCTTTGATATTAAATCAAGTTACACTTTTTGAGCGTGGTGACCGATAAGAAAACAATTTTTTTTCTTTTATTGAATAAATGAGAAGTTAATATTGTTTAAAATATTTTTAATATCTTACAATACATGTAGGTTATTCAGGAATTTTTATCATTGAGTTAGCAGCTAGTGTACACGCATACGTCTGGTCGCACGCACACAAACACCGTGCCGAAGTCTGCCGAACTGAAACGACGTTAGACGATGCACGGCTTTCAACGCCACACCTCCGTGCCCGTCGGAGTGGGGAGCGTGAGGTTTTTTTTCGATACGGAATTTCTGGATTCGGTCCCCGCGCTCTAAGCCCGCGATAGAAGCTATGCAATAGCTTAAAAATATATTGCCTGGAGTTACTGTGACCGACGCTAGGTGGTTAAGGGTTAAGGATACTTAGATTACATAAATAATAATTTTTCCATTTTATGATAGTTTTTTTAAGTTTGAACTGTTTTTGTGTATATAAGGTAATGTAACATAAAATATTATATAGATGCGTAGATATTAGGTAAGAACTGTAAATTTTTTAAAGAAATTAGTTCACGTTTAATGTTTGACATTATGTAGAACTACTTAAACTTATTAAGTATAACAATGTCTGGTCCGCTTACAAGCATAATATGGTAATATTTTGAGAAGTTAATTGTAATAAATTAAAACTGTATTCTTTGGAGTAAACAAGTAAAATAATAATTTGTTATAGCGCCATCTACTGCATTTTATACGTAAAATGATTTTATCGAAAAAACATTGATTAACTCTCAAGGTAGTACGCATAAAATATGCTAGACGGCATAAACAGGAAACGATTTAATTTAATGTTCTATTTCATTTTCTCGCAGGCTAAATTCTATTGATATATACTTATATATCACTTCTTATATTATGAGATTTTGAGGATACTTAGATTACATAAACAATTATTTTTTCGTTTTATGATAGGTTTTTAAGTTTGAACTGTTTTTGTGTATAAAAAGTAATGTAACAAAAAATATTATATAGATGCGTAGATATTAGGTAGATACTGTACATTTTTTAAAGAAATTAATTCAAGTTTAGTGTTTGACCTTGTGTAGAACTAATTAAACCTATTAAGTATAACAATGTCTTGTCCGATTACAAGCATAATATGGGACTATTTTGCGAAGTTAAGTGTATATATAGTTTTATATGTGGTAGAGCCATGCTCCAGTTATATTAGTAGTATAGTCGTAGCGCTAATGGGCAGGCTCGACCGAGGAAGGACCACGCTCTCATAAAATACCAGCGTGAAATAGTACAGAATGGACATTGTGTAGAACTAATTAAACCTATTAAGTATAACAATATCTCGTACGCTTACAAGCATAATATAAGACTATCTTGAGAAGTTAAGTGTAGTAAATTAAAACTGTATTCTTTGGAGTAAACGGTAAAATAATAATTCATTATATCGCCATCTACTGCATTTTATACGTAAAATGTTTTATCGAACAAATATTGACTAACTTTCAAGGTGGTATGCAAAAAATACGCTAGATGGCGTAAACACGACATGATTTCATTCTCTCGGTGGCTAAATTCAATTGATATATAATTATATATAACTTGTTGTACATTTTTTAAAGAAATTAGTTCACGTTTAATGTTTGACATTATGTAGAACTACTTAAACTTATTAAGTACAACAAAGTCTGGTCCGCTTACAAGCATAATATGGTAATATTTTGAGAAGTTAAGTGTAATAAATTAAAACTGTATTCTTTGGAGTAAACAAGTATAATAATAATTTGTTATAGCGCCATCTACTGCATTTTATACGTAAAACGATTTTATCGAACAAACGTTGATTAAATTTTAAGGTGGTACGCACAAAATACGCTAGATGGCGCAAACACGACACGATTTCATTTTCTCGCAGGCCAAATCCTATTGATATATACTTGTATGTAACTTGTTATGTTATCGGATTTTAAGGATGGCATAATGTAATTTATGCACATTTATGGATATAGGCATTTATATCCTATTGATATAGACTTGTATGTCACTTCTTATATTATGAGATTTTATGGATACTTAGTTAACATAAATATAATTTTATTAGTTTTATGATCGTTTTTTAAGTTTGAACTGTTTTTGTGTATAAAAAGTAATGTAACATAAAATATTACTTAGATGCTTAGATATTAGGTAGGTACTGTACATTTTTTAAAGAAATTAGTTCAAATTTAGTGTTGGACATTGTGTAGAACTAATTATACCTATTAAGTATAACAATGTCTTGTCCGCTTACAATCATAATATGGGAGTATTTTGAGAATTTAAGTGTAATAAATTAAAACTGTATTCTTTGGAGTACACAAGTAAAATAATAATTTGTTATATCGCCATCTACTGCATTTTATACGTAAAATGATTTTATCTAACAAACATTGATTAACTTTCAAGGTGGTATGCTAAAAATACGCTAGATGGCGTAAACACGACATGATTTCATTTTCTCGCTGGCTAAATCCAATTGATATATTTAATTATATATAACTTGTTGTACATTTTTTAAAGAAATTAGTTCACGTTTAATGTTTGACATTATGTAGAACTAATTAAACTTATTAAGTATAACAATGTCTCGTCCACTTACAAGCAAAATATGGGACTATTTTGAGTAGTTAATTGTAATAAATTAAAACTGTATTCTTTGGAGTAAACAAGTAAAATAATAATTTGTTATAGCGCCATCTACTGCATTTTATACGTAAAATGATTTTATCGAAAAAACATTGATTAACTCTCAAGGTAGTACGCATAAAATATGCTAGACGGCATAAACAGTTTATACATGGTAGATCTATGCTGCAGTTATATTAGTAGTATATAGCATGAATGCTGGGCCGTCAAGAAGAAGGATGAAAATAGATTGCATGCGAATGAAATGAGAATGTTACGATGGATGTGTGGTGTGACAAGGATGGATAAGATAAGGAATGAGTATATAAGAGGAAGCCTGAAAGTAGCGCCAGTGGTAGAAAGGGTGAGAGGAAGCAGATTGGCATGGTTTGGGCATGTGATGCGGAGGGATGAAAGTCATGTCACAAAACGAGTGTTGAATATGAATGTGGAGGGACACACGGGCAGAGGAAGGCCGAATAAAAGATGGATCGATTGTGTGAAGAGTGATATGAGAATGAAAGGAGTAAGTATGGAAATGACGGCTGATAGAGAGGAATGGAACAAGAAGATTTACTGCGCCGACCCCAGATAATGGGAAATGGTCTAGAGAATGATGATGAATGATGATGAGCACTAATGGGTAGGCTCGACCGAGGAAGTAACAGCTCTCACAGAATACCAGTGTGAAATTGTCTTAATGCTGCTGTGTTTCGTATGGTGAGTGTAGAGAACCAAGCCCTTTTTACTGGAAATGAGGCATTCCATCTTAGTCCTCACGGGTGACAACGCATCCGATTTGTAATCGAGGATAGATGTAGATGTCTATGGGCTGCAGCAACCACTTACCATCAGGTGGACTGTGTGCTTGTTTGCCAATCTATCCAATAAAAAAAATTAAAACTGTATTCTTTGGAGTAAACAGGATACTTAGATTACATAAATAATTATTGAATAAATGAAAAGTTAATATTGCTTAAAATATTTTTAATATCTTACAATACATGTAGGTTATTCAGGAATTTTTATCATTGAGTTAGCAGCTAGTGTACACGCATACGTCTAGTCGCACGCACACAAACACCGTGCCGAAGTCTGCCGAGTGCCGAAGTCTGCCGAGACTGAAACGACGTTAGACGATGCACGGCCTTCAAGCCACACCTCCGTGCCCGTCGGAGTGGGGAGCGTGAGGTTTTTTCGTTACGGAATGAATTTCTGGATTCGGTCCCCGCGCTCAAAGCCCGCGATAGAAGCTAAGCAATAGCTTAATAAGTTTTATTTCACCTTCAATTTGAACTATAATTCCGACCAGAACGTTCTTACAGTCAGTATAAAACAAAGTGGTGGTTTGGCTATCGTATAAACTGGCTGAGAACATGGAACGGTCATCACGCGGGATTTAGGTTCAATTCCTAGCGGGGCCAATATTTGTTACCGTTACAGCCAATTAAAGTCCGCTGCTGAACAAAGTCGTACTCATTTCTTCTTAAGCACTTCCCACTATGGCAAGTAACCCCTATTTTCATGCTCCGTAATTTTATAATTTTTGACAAAAAGAAACATTAAAGAATGGAGAAATATTTTATTGTGCGTGGATGCGCAAGCGGTTTAGCATCTGATCGGAAAATAGACTGAAAATGACTTTTATTGATCGAACTTAGCGATCGCAGCGCTTCACTTATGGTGTCCATATTTCTAGGACACTATTTTCTACGGCGATCGTTCTCCTGTTCTCTAACCTTCAAGGTTGATATTGACAGCTGACACTTGACATTGACGTATACTTTGCCAGTTTGACAGTTCAACATGTGATGTTGATGGGTTGTGATCGACTCGTCATGGATTTTAGGAAAATTTAATTAGGTTTTTATTATTATTTATTAATTTAAATATCAACATATCAGTCAGTATTTTTAGATCTTTTTATTGATTTTAAATTTCCGGTGCAAAATGCGCTCCAAGATAGTTATCGGGTGAGTGAATGTTTGTATTAAATTACATTTTGTTTATTTAAAAAATGCCGACGTTTACGTTAATAACTATTTTCAACGTTGGAAATAGTTCGCAACTGCGTCTCAAATTTCATTTTTATTCATGTCGTAGTATTCATGAAACAATAAACTAAATCTCAAATGCTAAACATATTTTAATAGCTACTTTCTCTAAATTTTGATTTTAAAGTTTTCTATATATTTCTTTACGTTTTAGTATGTATCGCTCGCATTTTATTTTTATTACTAAAATTATTTCAATTAAATTTTGTTAAATGCTCTACTGCAGTACCCTTCTAATTTCTTATAATATAATATATTAAACTAGCTTGCCAGGCAGACGTTGTTCCGCCCTTTTCGACGACCCTTTGTCATGTCCCATTAAAAATCTTTGAATTCGCTAAAAAATTGTGGGTCACTCATGGGCAAAAAAACTATCCTATCTCTCAATTCGGACCAAACTGCACATGGTGTGCAAATTTAATTAAAATCGGTTGAGTAGTTTAGGAGTCCATCGCGGACTAACAATGTGACACGTAATTTATAAATATTAAGATAAAAGCCCTCATCATGTTTTATTTAAGATAGACTACTATAGTTTTTTCTTTCATATATTGGGACTAGTAGAAGATTGAACTTATTCAATATTTGATCTTAATCAAGAGAGAAAACTATATTATTTTTAATGTTTTTTATGACTGCATGGTGCAGGAGCTTAGCAATGAGCTATAGCGCTGAGGGCCGCAGGTACGAATCCTGCACGGAACAAGTATTTGTATGGCCTACAAGTAATTGTTCCGGGTCTGGATGTTTGACCTTGTGTGATTTATGTATGTAAACTACCTCCATGATACTGGAGAAAATCCTAATGTGGAAGTAATGTTTATTAAAAAAAATTTTACAATATTCATTATAAGAAATAAAAATTGTAAGTAATTTTTCATATGCAGTGTTAATAAAACACATTTACATTAGTACTTCTTACACAGGGATTTTTAAACAGGTTTCAATATTATGTTGTACAGTTAATAATAATTTTAGAATTTTCAATTATCTTTGGTTGCATCTTAAAGTACTCCATCCAGTACTTCAAAGGAGTCGCACTTAGGTAGGTTCTACCATTTGCCTCTCTCTGCTGCCAAATAGTAGCATAACCTGCTGTGTTGCCATCTAATAGGTAAAGTTAGTCAGTATAATTAGAGGCTGTGAGATATTTCATCTCAGTGCTCAGAGGTGACAATGCATCTGTAGCCTTTCTTCTTTGTTTAGGTGTGACCACTACATTGAAAACCTGTGATAAAGAAATGCAGGCAACTTTATAATTTAAAATATTTGTTTGTGCAGAACTGTCCTAGTATTGTGGGCAGTATTGACTTGGCTGTTTGGTCATCTGTACCAAGAGTTATTAAATGTGTATGAGCAGTCAGACTCATTGATAGACTCCGACTACTCATGGTAAGTAAACTTCAAATATGTTGCAGTATTAATTAAAAGTTATACTTTTACTTACATAACAATCTGTAGTAATTATAAATTATTTGAGTAGACTGTGGAGTCAGAGAGCTCTAAAGCAGATGGGATTAAAATTAATTAAATTTATACTTTGTTTATAATTAAATCAATAACTTATAAGTCTTAATTATATTAAGATATTGTTATATTAGATATATATACTATTTAAGAGACATGGTAGCTCAAGGGTTTAGCACTCGCTATAAATTTCTCTTTGTGGCATTACTTGGGGGAGGCCTATGTTCAGCAGTGGACTTGTGAAGGGCTATAATGATGATGATGATAAATTTCTCAGTAGCAACATGGGTGCAATTCCTGCCGGCATCAATTAAATTGTTAATTGCTATTTTAAGTGCTGTTTTCCATCTGCTCGAGGGTGAAGGAAAACATTGTGGGGAAACCTACATGTCTTAGAAATAGATATCAAAAAAAGTATTTCAAAGACATGTGAAGTCCTCCAACACACATTGGGGCAGCGCAGCAACCATTTCCTTGCCCTAAATACCCTCTCAAAAATGAGAGATCTTTGCCCAACAGCGGGTCATATACAGGCTGTAACTTTAAGAATGGGATGACAATCCGACTGGCCTAGAGGGAGATCAGTGGCAGACTTAACAGCTACATGTGCTTTCCAAGGCATGGGGGTGAAACACCACCAACTTCCTGATTCAGGGCTGCTATTGAGAATTTTTTGGCAGAAAAATGCAATTTCTGATTTTGTGCCGGATCCAGGATTGGACCTTAGGATCACACAATCAGCAGGCATGCTCACGACCACTAGATCAACAATGCAGGCCTTTCAAATCATTTTTTTGATCTTTCAAAGCTGTGCTCATCAGCTGGTGGGGGCAATTAGGTAGGTTATTAGTTAGGTAGCTAGAAAACTATGTAATAAAATCTGTACCAAGTGATGCTTAGAAGAAAAAAGCATTCCTTCTTAGAAATAGAGGAGGCCCGTGCCCCAGTAGTAGGCCATGTATAATGCTGTAATTTTTTTGTAACTTTGATTGCCTGATGTTTCTCTAATTTCTTATTTATGTTATTATTGTTTATAACAATTTAAAACTTTTGTTATTACTTTGTACTTCACTATTTGTTAAAGAGTGCTATCATTATTATTATTATTGTTAAATTTAACATTATATTTTATTGACATTAAGTTATCTTAGCTTTATGTTGATATTGTAATTACATACATACATAAACACTCACGCCTGTCACCCATAGGGGTAGGCAGAGACTACAAACTTCCATTTGGCACGATCCTGACACACCTCTCTCGCCTCCTTCACATCCATACACTTACGCATACATGCTCGTCGGTTAATGAGTACTCCTAATTTGGCCCGTTTTCAATAAATCGCCAATTTGGTCGATAAATTTTCGCCTAGGACGTCCCTTTCCGACTCTGCCATTCACTTCTGCAACATAAATTTTCTTTGTCACTCTTTCCTCATTCATTCTTTCCACATGACCAAACCACCGAAGCATTCCTTTCTTAATCCTGGTCACAACATCATCTTGCAAACCACACTCTTCTCTTATTACACAATTTCTTACCCAGTCTTTCAGATTCAGCCCTAACATACTCCTTAACGACCGCATTTCTACTGCTTTCATTCTACTCTCGTGCTTCTTCTGCCACACCCAACTTTCACTACCATACGTTAAAGTAGGGACCAACACAGCATTGTGAATTGCCATACGTGCCTTTTTCGACACATTTTGACTCTACACAATAGAGTACAGGGCCCCATTTACTCTACTTCCCGCATTCACTCGTCGTTCTATATCTTTATCATATCTTCCACCCCTGCTAAATACGCAGCCCAAATATACAAACTCATCTACTTGCTCGATCAACTCCCCTTCTATTCTTATTTCACAAATCGTTTTACTTTCTTCTCTTTCAAAAACCATAACCTTCGTCTTACTTGCGTTTACTTTCATACCCCTTTCTTTTAATGATCTGTTCATTAATGTAACCATCATTTGCAACTCGGCCGCCGACGACGCAAGAATAACTTGATCATCGGCGTACAAAAGGTATTTGACGGTTAACTCAGCCATTCTTAATCCGCATTCTTCAGCTTTCAAATGTTGCAAACAACTGTCCATAAATAGGTTGAACAGCCACGGGGAAGCCACACAGCCCTGTCTGACACCTTTATGGATGCCAAACCAGTCCGAGTAGACCCCGTTGATCCTAACACAAGCACTAGAGTCTCTATAAAGAGACTCCAATGCCTGTATCAAGCCAGCGCTCAACCCAAATGAGTTCAGTGTTTGCCATAGCACATCCCTGTCCACTCTGTCATAGGCCTTTTCCAAGTCCATGAACGCACAAAAAACCTTTTGGTTTTTTGCCAAAAACTTCTCTGCGATCATGCGCATGGAAAAGACTTGATCTGTACATCCCATCCCCTTTCTAAATCCCGCTTGCACATCCCAAATTTTTTCATCAGTTTCTTTCATGACCCTTTCAATCAGTACCTTAGCATACAGTTTTCCCACAATACTAAAAGCTTATGCCACGGTAGTTTTTACAGTCCTGCTGCGACCCTTTTCCTTTATATACTGGGACTATCACGGCTTTGCACCAGTCTACCGGTACCCGCTTCAGTTCCCAGCATAAATTAAACAAGGTGTGCAGCAGGCCTGCCACCACTTCCTCTCCAGCCCTTAGCATTTCGAGTGAAACTCTATCATATCCGGCAGCCTTACCTGCTGTCATGCTTTTCATTGCTTTCATTATTTCATCTATACTTATCTCGCTACCTCTTTCCTCTTCTTTCGGAGTTTCTACTTCACTTAGTACACACGTTGTCTCCTCACTCATAAACACGCTTTCAAAATATTCCTTCCATCTCTTTATATATTGTAATTATTTAAGCAAAGTAAGAATTATTTGTGTACTGTGGTATTTCTTTGCAGATGCCAGTAAGACATGTTAATTATGCTGAATATTGCAAGAACTTATCTCTCAAAACTAAACTAAACTCAGAAATAGATTTAATTTAATTAAATAGTAGGAATTCTTCCATAGTTGCCACACTTTGCAGACCGGTTATCATTTTGCATTGTTATCAGGGAGATGATCATCTCTTGTTTAACACATCCACAGGACGTTATGGAGTAGTAGATCATTTTGCAATACCACTACACGATAGAAACATTTATGTTTGTTGTTAATTGGTTTCAGGTGCTTTCGGCTGCTTCTAAATTTAGTCGGATATTCCACAGTCCTGGTGCCTGGATATATGCTTTACAAGTACCTGGAGAAAACGAATTATTTTGATAAAATTAGTGAGTATACTTTTACAGTCATTGCTTAAATACTAGGCTAGACTAGTAGAATATGCCTAAAGACAACATCATCATTTCATCATTACAGCCCTTCACAAGTTCACTGCTGAACATAGGCCTCCCCCAAGTAATGCCACAAAGCACGGTCCTGAGCCACCTGCATCCATCGACTTTCTGCATGTCTTACCAGGTCGTCACTCCATCTAGTGGAGGTCGCCCTACACTTCGCCTACCAGTATGAGGCTGCCACTCGAGAACCTTTCTTCCCCATTGGTTATCAGTTCTTCGAGCTATATGGCCGGCCCATTGCCACTTCAGCTGTCGGTCGCTCTGGTTCTACTGCAGATATGCTCATTTCTGAGTTTATCACGCAGGAAATCCTCGAGCATAGCCCTCTCCTTAGCTCGTTGAGCTACCTTGAGCATCCTCATACGGCCAGCAGTGAAGGACCACGTCTCAAATCCGTAAGTCTTTCTGTAAATTATTTTAACCGACTTTAAAAAAGGAGGAGGTACGCAAATCGACTGTATATTTTTTTTGTCAGTACTTTTTTCTAGGTAAACCGATTTTGATGATTATTTTGAAGTGAGAGTGAGTTATCCTTAATAATGCGTATTTAATTAACTTGGTCTAGATTGATGATGTTCTCATTTTATTTATATTGAAGTCTGTTGTAATTTTTTTTAATTTTACCACTTGTAACATGGAATGCAATAAAGAGTAAATAAATACATATGTGTCCAGTACTACTGACACATTATATTTAAGATCTTAATGTTAAGTATACCATATTCTATTTTGTTAGATGCCATTTCTTTCACTATTGGCAATTTTTAGAAATTACTGTTATGCCATCCATTGAAAAAATAAAAAGAATAAAACTTAAAACTGTTTGCTCGGAATTAAGTTTTGTTTGAGATTTTCATATCAAGTCGAAATGGTAAAAAAAAAATTGAGAATTTTTTTAGAAATATTTAGGCAAATTGGGAATCAAAAAATATGAGCAACAACTCAGTATGCCGGTATAAAATTGCTTCCAAATAAAAAAGGTGAATTATATCTATTCTCAAATTGACTTTAGTATAGCATTCAGCATCATCAGTATGATAATAAATCTGAGTTTTTTAATTACATTGATATAATCAAAATCTCATTAAATAATATTTTTTCTTATTTAGATAGTTATTTTATTTTTATTTCGTTGTCGAACTAAAATTCAATGATTAAAATCCGGCTCGAAAGACCAAATAAATTAAAGAATTTCTTACATAATTTTATTTTATTTGTATAACTTTGAAATGTCAATGAACCTTATGGTAAATGGATCCATAAACATCAGCAATCAACTTTAAATATAAAAGGCTACAGATGAATTGTCACCACTAAGGACTAAGATGGAGCACATCGGTGCACGCACGCACGCACCTTGACTGAATATGACTTAAATTTTGAATAAATGTGTGATTTTGTTTGTTTTGTAATTATAGTCCACCTAATGGTAAGTGGTTAGTGATGGACACCTGTTCCCAACTTCAAATAAAGAAGGTTTCAGATGAGTTATCACTCCTGAAGACTAAGATGGAATGCCATTTAACCTGTAATCATACTGATCCTCTGTACCCCTCAGATTATAACACAGCAGAGCACGCACAAATAATTAACGGTAGAAATAGGTAAGAGGGTGTTTCCTATCCATACAGAAAAGGAAAGACACAGAGACGGAGGCCTACTATCAAGCAAGTGTTTATTTAATGTGAATTACGTAAGCGTACTGTGCAGTGGCGGTTTAAATATATCCACCACCCCATATCATCCGTGAAAATCGTAAGAGCCGACAGAGGGTGATAGCGTTTTGCTAACGACTAAAAATAATAATAAACTGCGGTTGCCAACCGCTTGTCAAACGTGGGGAAGCTATGGGGGGGAGCCCTATACCCAGCAGTGGGCTTTAATTGGCTGTAATGGTAAAAAGTAAGCGAAAGTTAATGTTAATTAAAATCCTAATCCGATACATTTTCTACAATAGCTCATTCACTCGTCTAAAATCTATGAAATAAAGATTAAAGTTTCGTATCGTAGTTTGGTAGTAAAATATTTAGAATAAAGCACAGTAGGTCATTAAATCGAAAATACAAGCCATAATTTAGTAAATGGTACTGTTACCAGTAGAGATAAGCCGCAATATTGTTTAGTCATTTGTAGTGTTGCGTACGATAAGCTGATGTTATCTGCGAGCGGTAGCTGTGAATGTATAATTAGGTACACTAGGATTTTAGGTGTATTTAACCAATAGTTTAAGCGTAATTTTAAATATAATTATTGGTATACATTTTTTAATTTTGTTATGCTGTATACACTGAATAAATATATGTAGTGGCTGTGTAAGAATATCCGCTAACATATCGTCCCGTAGATGTCGTAAGAGGCGACAGAGGAAAACTAAAACAAGAAACGGGACCAGCATCTTCCTGATAACAACTTACATTAATGAAAAACTGTGTTTGCCAACCAGCTTACCAAGCGTCGCGACTAATGCAAATATCATCTATGAGGCAATCTATAGGGTAGGCTTGTGTTCACCAATGGACTTTTGATTAGCAGTAAAAAATAATTTACTGAATTAAATAAAAACGCTACAGAGAATTTCTCGATAATGTCGGAGAGGGTCCAAATCTAGTACTGAAAAACGAAATATGAAACTTTTTTGTAGATTTTATTTTATAGTATAAGGTTGACAAGCGAGCACACAGTCTACCTGGTGGTAAGTGAATTCTATTGCCCAACATATCTACATTTATCCTCAATGGATTCATGTGGAATGCCTTATTTTCAGTGAAAAGGGTCTCCGGTTCTCTATACTCACCATATGAAACACAGCAAAGCTGCTATTTTACGTTTGTATTCTGTGAGAGCGTAGCCCTTACCCGTTCGAGCCCACCCATTCGTGTTATAACGATAATATAGCTGCAGCTTGGCTCTACGACGTAAGAATGTATGTATAGATTGTAGACGTTCGTCTGATCTGGGCTTTAAAAATTAAAAAAATGAATATTTATCCCCTCAGCAAACAAGACATGGCTCTCGCGAGTCCTGTTCGCGTGCTTTGGAGAGCCTGGTGAGAAGCTACCGGAAGCTGTCAAACCCGCCAAGGTGAATGACACTCGTGAAGGATTTGAACTAGTGTTCTGCTTCGTCGGTCTAATGGGCGCTTACCTAGTATGGGGACTGCTGCAGGAGAAAATTATGACACAGGTATTTCTTACTTCTTTTCTTCGTTCTTGAAGTCGCCATTATACTGTTTCATAGAAAACTAGCGACCGCCCCGGCTCCGCTCGGGTCATTACTGGATCTCGACTACAGCGCCACCCACCGAGTCCAATTGTTAATCATCATCAAATCGTAGTAGTAGTATAGTTGTAGCACGAATGGGTCGGCTCGACCGGGGAAGGACCACGCTCTTACAGAATAACAGCGTCAAATAGTAGCTTAATGCTGTTGTGTTTCGTATGATAAGTGTAGAGATCCGGAGACCCTTTTTACTGGAAACGAGGCATTCCATCTTTGTCCTCACGGGTGACAACGCATCTGCATTTTGATTCGTAGTCGAGGATAGATGTAGATGTCTATGGGCTGCAGCAACAATTTACCATCAGGTGGACTGTGTGCTCGTTTGTCACCCTATCCTATTAAAAAAATTAAAAAAAATGAAATTCAAGGACCCTCCCAAACGTACACAAAAATGTACCCCCTTTGTATGACGCTTTTTTTAAATAATTTTGATAAAATTTCTAAAATATTTTATGATTTTTAATATTTTATGTGTTGATACAACGATAAATTTTTCTTTAATCAGTAAAGTCAAAACCTCAATATTTTCATTTTGCGGTATGCACCAAATTATTTGTAAAGAAATTAAAAATGCCATTCTCTAATCAATCAGTCATTTTTAGTTTGTCGCTGTTCTTGCAAATCAGGGATATCCACTCACGGTAGGAATTTTTTTCTCTTTAGGAGTTTAGACGGGTAAGAGAATTCCGAAAGTTACGTGCTTTGGTGTATTTCATCAGGTTATATGTTATAGCAAATACATTTGTTTAAAGAATAAGGGTTACAAAACGAGCACACAGTCTTCGTGCTGGTAAGTGGATGCTGTGGCCTATAGACATGTATCCCCTTGTCGCCACCCCTGAGAACTAAGATGTAATGCCTTGTTTCTAGTAAATCTGTATCTGGTTCTCTACACTCACCATACGAAACACGCCAGCATTAAGCTGCGATATTACGCTGGTATTCTGTGACAGCGTAATCTTTCCCCGGTCAAGCCGACCCATTCTTGCTACAACTATAATATAACTGCAGCAGTAAAAAATACATTCTTCTGTCGGGCACCAACCTGGTTTGCCCATTATTGATATTAGTTTTTAAACCTGCTGGAGACACAAATGGCTCTACAGGGAAACGATCATGCTCACAATACCAGTCTGTAATATCAACAAGACCCTTTTAACTGCTAACGAGGCTTCCACCTTGGTCCTCAGGGTGATAACGAATCTGCGCGCCTACTATTCTACGTCAAGACACATCCTATTCTATTCTTATCCAATAATAGATGTGGTTTTGTGGGACATTGCATCTACTTACCATCAATTGGACATATTGCTAATTTTGTTACCCTTGCTTCCAAAAAAGGCCACTACACCGTCAAATGCGTTGCGAATTCCTAGTGACCTTAAGTTTTTTTTTTTAATTTTGTAGACATGTTCCTTTCGATGATTGCCTTTATTACCGAGCAAGTGGTAAATCAGCACTCAATTAACAAATTCACTGATGCTGGTATGAATAGAACTCTGTTTAATCGTGTGATGTGAAACTAACTAATTACCACATCAATGTGACTATGGATGCCGAAAAGCACTAGAAACTTAGGGAATTAAAAATCCGTAAAGTTGGTTTTATTTAATACCATACCAATGATTTGTTTGGAACTTAGTACTAGTGAGTTGACCACTGCATACAGAACTACGTGATGGCAGACGGCAGCCTGGTGCGGTTCAACGACTCGCAGCTGCTGGTGTTCATCAACCGGCTGCTGGCCTTTCTGATCGCGCTGGGCCGCCTTCTGTGGACCGGTCAGCCAATCATCGCGGCTCCACTCTACAAGTTTTCCTACTGTTCGCTCACTAACATTATCAGCGCCTGGTGCCAATACGAGGCGCTTAAGTTCGTCAGCTTCCCCACCCAGGTGAGTTCACAATCGAGTGATGAACACAATTTTTTATGTACTTTTAATAATTGTGGTGTGCCTCAGGGCAGCAGACTAGGACCACTGTTGTTAATGTATGCACATTTATATTAATAATTTAACTGACTCATCCCATAATAACGCCGTGAAGTGGTAGCATGAGGGTGAGATAATCCATTAAACTATATCATCCCATGAGTGTAGTAGACCGAGGAAAACGAAACAGGAGACTGGATTTACATTTTCCTCACTTTTTGTGGTTGTCATTTTTATTTTAAAGCTTTGAGATATATTGGACACCAGGATTTGACATCCGTGTTAAATTCAAAGATTAATTAAACTCTTGGTCGAAGTCGGACTTAAATAATCAAACATTTTGTCCCTGGTTCGTAAACTAGTGAACAACTTTCCGTTTCCGCGTTTCCTAAACTACCGGTATAGGTGTAACATGGACTTTAGACATGAACTTGGATTTTACTGTAATACCTGATTCTAATAATTGCGCTACAGACTACAAGATGCTTCTTGTCTACATGTTACTCCAACCTGAGCAGGTTGCATGTTATCTTCATGATTGGAGGATAAATTACGAAGTATAATACGAGGCTTTAATCTTCAAGGGTGGTAATGCATCTAAGTATTCTTCTTTTAATTTTTTCATATTTTAAAATTACAAATTTCAGACTAATAACAAACATCAAATGTTATATCTACACTTCTTTTTTCAAATAAATATATCTATCTTTACAATACAGCCATTCCGAAGGATGCCCGGACAGATAGAGAGACAGGGAAAAATTATAATTTAAGTTAATAGCATACAGATAACATTTAAGAAATAGCATGCAAATAACATTAAAGAAAAATACTTTAATTTGATTTAAAGTTAAGGCTTGTACAGGTCACACTGCTGGCCACAGGCCTCCTCTCATTTCTGAGAGGGTTTTAGGACAAGGAAATGTCCACCGCACTGCCCCAATGCGTGTTGGCGAACTTCATATGTCTTCGAAATATTTTTTCTTATTTCTCAGACATGCTGGTTTCCTCATGATGTTTTCCTTCACCGTCGAGCACGTGGTAAATCAACATGTAAAACTGCAATCAACAATTTAATTGGTGCCAGTGGGGATCGAACCCGGGTTGCTCTCATACTATGAAATTTCCAGCGAGTGCTTAGCCCCAGAGCTACCACGGCAATTTTATCCATTACTTTTAATTGCAAGTTTTAAATACACACCATTATTTATTATGTTATTGTGGGTTACAAAGTGTCTTGATGAAAGACAACACAGTTGTGGAATGATTCCCAACAGAGTTACACAAGCACACTGCTTATCTGCTTATTTGTTCGTTCCTTAGGTGCTTTCCAAATCCTGTAAAGTGATCCCAGTGATGCTCATGGGCAAGTTGATCTCGCGTAACAAGTACGAGATGTACGAGTACGTGACCGCGATTCTCATCTCCGTCGGTATGGTGCTCTTCATGTACGGCAGCCACGATGATTATGCAGGTATACCATGCAAATAAACATTACGCGAACAGTACAGTGTTGTAATTGTAATTTTATTCTATTTCTTATGTGGAATTTTAAGTGCTCTGCGGTGAAGGAAAACATCGTGAGGAAACCTGCATGTCTGAGAAATAAGAAAAAAATATTTGGAAGAAATGTAAAGTTCGCCAACACACATTTGGGCAGCGAGGCGGACCTTCTTTGCCCTAAAACCCTGTCAGAAATGAGAGGAGGCCTATGCCCAGCAGTGGGACTTATGTAGGCTGTAACTTTATATATGTGTGAATCACAAATAAACTGTTCGATTTGATTTGTTTTTGGGATATTTGTAATTTGTAAGCGATTTTTAAGCTCCAATGGATAGTTTTCAACGTTATACAGCGGGTTTACAAGTTTTGTTAGGTTATTCACAGAACACATAACTTACCAAATACCAAGTCGAACGGTGTAAAATTTGTTACAGAGTGTACCATGATATTATACGAAAAACACCAAAATTGTAGCCATTCGCTCTATGTGTCTGGATAGTTCTCGGTTTGGATACGGAGAAATGCCATTAATTTTTTGTGTGTTACCTCTAATGCGCCTATTGATTGATGTTGGTGTGCTGTCGAATTCAACTATTAAATTTTAACAATTTACACACTTCTTGGAATGTCGACGATATAAACTCTTTCCCTCTGTCTGTGGCTACCTCGGCAGGAACACCATAGCTGAAAATAAATTTTTTAACTCTTGTTTCACAACTTTTTCTGTTGTTTTCGAAATCAAAGGGTAGGCTTCAACATATTTCGTAAGTTCATACTGTAAGGACAGTATATATGGGTAGTTGTGATTATCCATTTCTAACGGGCCTACAAGATCTAAGTATATTTTTTCAATCGCCGTACTTGACGTTGCGTTGTAGTGATAACCATTAGTTCTTTGGCTGGTTTTGAATGTTTATGTCTGATTTATCGCATCTTATTACGAATTCCCGTATATCCATTGACCTCAACATATCGCTGTCAAGTCCCGGCCAATAATAATACTTTTTAATAATATTTGGAATTTTTTCATACCTGCATGCCCACTGCTAAGTAAGAGATGAAAGTCATTAAAGTAATTTTCATTGACTTGCATCTTACACGACGGTCATCTTTTTTTTTACTCTTTTTACGTATCTAAAAATACATATTCGCGGTCCGGACCAATATTTCCTTTTTATTACCGCTTTTACAAGTTTCTTTATAAAAATATCGTCATTTTCACTTTTTAATATGCATATGTCTTCTATATTCTCTTCTTTACAAAATTCGCCTTTATCACAAATTTTTTGACAGTGGCAGAGCTACGCGGCAGCTTTGCTGTTGCACGTATGGGCCGGCTCAAATCGGGGTGGTACCACGACCTCACAGAATACCGGCGATACTGCTGGTGATTGCAGGTGGCCGGAGCCCGCCTCCCCATTGACATCGTAGCGGAATTAAATGCAAGCCTACCCCAGGAGTGTACCAGCACCCCTGGAGAATCCCTCGCTGAGCATCCACGACCAAGCTACTCCACTCCTGAGCGTGGGTGCTCCGGCTGTCCCGCGTATCCTGGTGGGGGAGGGGCAAAATTCCGCTCGAGACTAAACCTGCCCGGAGCGAACGGAGCAATAAGTCAAAGGCGCCCCCTGCCACGCTATCCGTGAATCAGGGGACTTCATTACATACTTCAAACAACATCTTCAGATGGTAGTGGACGGCGGACGGACGGCCTTGCTCTTTCTGGCCGAGACATAGGTGTCTTCTCCGGCTGATACTTCGTATCTCTCCTATCCTTGGTACAAATTAGAACACTCCTTTGTGCCCCGGGGTGGGGTTTGCGTGTACGTCAGAGAGGACATCAGTTTCCGACGCCTCGGCAGGCTTGAAGGTACGGACCTGTTCATCTTATGGCTGCGCGTAGACAGCGAAGACCATCCCCGCGTCTACGGGTGCCTCTATAGGTCTCGTAGTGGTAATGCCGACACAGACCAACTCATCGACCACGTCCAGATGGCTACAGACTCCGTGCTACAACAGGTCCCGTCCGCTAAAATCGTGATGCTTCTCATTTAACCGATCATGCGGGTAGATCTGTTTATGACTTTGCTTTGACATATGGTCTGACACAACTGGCTACCTCGCCTATACGGATCCCAGATGTGGAAGATCATGTACCTTCCCTATTGGACCTTCTGCTTACCTCATCCGGACGGATATCAGGTCTCTTTCGATGCCCCTCTGGGCTCCGCGGACCATTGCTTGATCCGGGGTACGGTGCCACTCACGCTCTCATCGCGTTTGCGTACTGCAGATTGCCACCGTGTTTGGCATTATAGGTCAGCTGATTGGGACGGGATGCGATCTTTTTTTACATCCTACCCTTGGAGGCGGGTTTGCTGCAAGCATGCGATGCTGTAAGCTGTTTTTCTCTAGCCGGGCTATCTTCCGATACAAGTTTTTCACCTTTACCTTTTCGATTATTTCTGGCGTGGTAGCCTCAATCGGCCGTCCAGGTTGGGGGTCGTCTTGAATGGATTCCCTCCCTTGTTTGAAAAGGGCGTGCCATTTCTAAATCATTGTTTTCCCAGGAGCGGAGTCCCCATTAACAGCTGACATGACTTGAAAAATGGTTTGTGATGTCTTCCCTTGTTTCAATTCAATTTTCAAAATTCAATTATCTCCATAGAGGCTAGCTGTTCCCGATTGACTTGTTAAATCGTTGATAACTCAAAAGGTTAAACCGATTAGGCTGAAACTTGGTCATTATCATCGTCATTACAGCCCTTCACAAGTCCACTTCTGAACATAGGCCTCCTATAACCCCTTGTGTGGCGACCGGCCAGATTCTGGCCGATGGTTAATTACGCGCGTCTGGCAAGCGACCAGATTCTGGCCGATCCGCGACTGCGTATTTGGCGGGTAAAATAACCAGCGACAATGATTTTTATCACACTTTTACTTATAGAAAATTATAAACCAAAGAAAGAGGATGCGATACAAAGCTACTAAAGTACTACAATGTGTAGAAATTTCGAATAAACAGCCTATGTAGCAGTCGCATGCGAACGTCACTTTCATGTGGTCACCCGTCCCGGTTTTTGTCCTTATTTTTATTCCTAAATCGAACAAATAGTGAAGTTAAGTGCTATTCAAACATAGAAGGGTTAATAACCAACAGTTTTTAATTCATAATTTAGGGATATGTATCCTTTTTATAAAAAAATTCGAACATAAACGGTCGTTATACTTACTTACCTTACATTTATCTCTATTGTTGATTAAAAATACATTACATTCTTTTTAGAAATGAAACTTTGTCTAAATTAAGGACTTGAGCCATACTTAATGTTAAAATTATCGTACGCCACTTGACTTGCTCATTTCTCAAAATAAAACTAACAATATATGCTATTTTTTGTGCGACGCTTGGGTTGCCGTTCATGTGTTAAGATTGTAAAAAACTTTTGAGGTAAAAATATATAGGAATGTGTGGTTTTTTTTGCTTTTTTATTATAAATTAGTGTATATTGATGAAAATAAATTACATTTATTTTATAAAAGAATGATTTTTATGTTTAATTTTCACAAATTATGCACAAAATACTATTAAAAATTTGGTTTTCCAACTTTGAAATTGGCTTAATAAAATCTATTAAGTTGTATTCAACTAAGATATCTACAGAGTAATAGCAAATAATATAACAATTCATATGACATAAGTTTTATAAATAGCTTCCATACAATATTTTAGAGAAATTACTAATTTAATCGCCACGCGCCGATATCGCAAAATTACCTGCTAAGGCCCTAGCAGACGCGACGTATTTGCAAAATGGCCGGCCGGCAGACGAGGGGCTAAGGAATACCACAAATCACGGTCCTGAGCCAGTGGCGAAGCCTCTATAGAAGCCCAGAAGCCCGGCTTGCCTTATCAAGCTGAATCAATCAATAATATCAAGTAATAAAATAACTCATATAAAAATCATATCATCAATCATAATAAACTATTTTAAATTATTTCAAATTTCCCGCGCGCTGTGTTCGACCTCGTAGCCTTAGGAATACTGCTGTCGTACATATAAGGAGAGTTAAATTGAGCGATTCGTTGTCTCCCTCGCATAAGTGGGCTTTTTACCGGGCTTTCGAGAAGACGATTGCTCCCTTTCTAACCTGTGGCAAAATGTTCTCTAATGAAATATAACTACGAAATGTTTATATAGCAATTACTATTGAGCCACAAGCCTGGCTTTGCCCTGAAGTTGTTTAGGAGTGCGTTAGCGACTAGCGAATGGGGTGCGGGCCATTCGTATGCAAGTTCACTTCACATTTCAATGTTTATGTTTGTTTTTGTTGTGTTTGTTAAAAATTTATGCTTTTTCGAAAATTTTCAGTGAAAATGGGAGGATAATAATGTTCATTGTGATGAATATAAGTGTGTTGAAGTGCAAATCGGCGAGGAAAAGGTAAAATCTTTACAAATGAAATTTAATATTCAATAAACATTTCTTCATACTTTAAATATAGGTACAGGACTCTTTAGTATTAAAGTTTAATTAAGTTATGCGTATTTAAAGGTTTATTAACTCAATATTTATATTACCATATGAATTAAAAATATCATTTTGAACGGCAGCATAAAATATGAGACACCTAGGTTTTTAATTATATAGGAAATAAGTGTTACAATCTTTTTTTAACGTGAAGCCCAAATGTTAATGTAATAAATCAAAAGAATACAGAAGAATGTATTGAGGTTTTTAAAGAATACTCCCTTTAGTTATTTTCAGTATATAAAATTTTAATAGCGCCATCTATTTAATTCTATAGGTAGTCATTTTATCGAACGAAAATTGGTTGATTCTCACGATGGTACTTACGCTAGATGGCACAAATACGCTATCGGCTAATTTAATATTTATATTACCATATGAGTTTAAAAATGTCATTTTGTACGGTTTATTATGAATTGAATATCATTTTGTACGGTTTATTATAAATTGAAAATGAATAATTATATAATAAATAGTCATTATTTTGTGGGAAAAATTAGTAAAGCTTTATCTTATCATTATACCTATCTAATTCCTGTCGTAATCTGTTCTTTTATGAATGCAACTTAAACAAAATAATTTCGAGGTTTCACATCTGCCAGGCGTCACTTTTTTATCTTTGTACATAGTTTGTTTGTACTTTGTTCATGCTTTTCTTTTGTTCATGTATTGTATTGTTTGTAAATATCTCAAGCAAACCCAAACGGCTCTTTTCAAAACCACCGAAGGTGTGCAATTGCATATTATGTCATACAATCTATCTAGCAGTGGTATGCCTTCTGTGTGCTTTGTTAAACACGTCCTTGACAGCACTGAATATGAAACTAAAGAGTGGAGACAGCTCAAGATTGGTGTATTTTTATTAAACTGCTAAAAATAAGAAAACCATATCTTGAGCTTGCCCTAGTTTGGAGCCCTAGCTTCGCCACTGTCCTGAGCCACCTGCATCCATCGACTTCCTGCATGTCTTACCAGGTCGTCACCCCATCTAGTGGGGGTTCGCCCTACACTACGCTTACCAGTAAGAGGCTATCACTCGAGAACCTTTTTTCCCCATTGGTTGTCGGTTCTTCGAGCTATATGGCCGACCCATTGCCACTTCAACTTACTAATCCGTTGGGCTTGTCGGTCACTCTGGTTCTACTGCGGATATCCCTATTTCTAAGTTTATCATGCAGAGATACCCTGAGCATAGCCCTTTCCATAGCTCGCTGAGTGACCTTGACCGACACTAGGAATTTTCTCCTGTATCGTTGGGGCAGTGTACATAAATAAATTTCTCAAGGACAAACATACAGACCAGGGATTCGAACCCGCGGCCCTTAGCGCTGCAACTAATTGCTAAGCCACTGCGCCACGGAGCCGTCCGTTGTAGTTACGTTAGCTTTTGTTTACTTATTATAAGCCAGTGGTTGATCACGGTCGCGCCTGCTTGTGATACTTTAGTTCGTTCGTTTCCTGTGTGCCGATTTTATGAGCGAAAGTTTTGTTCGTTGGCAGTGTCTGCCGCGACGACCGGTTCGGGCGTGGCGCTGCTGGCGCTGTACATGGCATGCGACAGCTTCACGTCGTCGTGGCAGGCGGCGCTGTTCGCGCGCCACTCGCCGCGGCCGCTGCAGATGCTCGCCGCCGTCAACCTGTGCTCGCTGGCGCTCACCGCCGCCGCGCTGCGCCACCACGCGCGCGTCCGCGACCGCACGCGCCTGCTGCAGGTTAGTGTCGCACCACACCGCACGCTCACTGTGAAGTGCACCGCACATTCCACTTATAGTTGATAAGTTGGCGTACAGAATCTTCTAAAAATCCGGAATTACTGGTATTAAAGTCTACAATCTTGCCTAGTGAATCTGTCTCTGTGGAGTCGAGAAACTGATATCACCAGTTCTTTTTTATATGATAAAGGTGACAAACGAGCACACAGTCCACCTGATGTTAAATGGTTGCTGCAGCCCATACACATCTACATAAATCCTCGATCACGAATCAAAATTCAGATACGTTGTCACCTGTGAGGACTAAGATGGAATGCCTCTTTTACACTTACCAAATGAAACACGGCAGCGCTAAGCTGTTATTTAACGCTGGTATTCTGCGAGAGTGTGGTCCTGCCCCGGTCGAGCCGGCCCGGTCGTGCTACAACTATAGTACTGATATAGCTGCAGCATGTTCACCACAAAATACTTGTGTTTGGTGTTTACGGAGTGTGTATCTCTGTTTTATTAAAACTTCTTTTGTTTTGTGGACATGCATTAAATTTTCATAATTTATTTCGTTAAATTTCTCTCTAATAGACTCTTGATTTTATGTTGTAAATAACTTATGGCTCTCTTCTGAAAAAAGGTAATAATGGCAATTTTCTTTTTTTTTTCATTCAGCACCCAGTGTTCGTGATGGACTGCCTGCTACTGTCTCTGAGCTCAGCGGTGGGACAAATGCTGATCTATCGCACCATCGCTCGCTTCGGGGCAGTTGTTTTCACCATTATTATGACTCTTAGACAGGTAACGGTAACTTTGTCGTAATCGTCTAGAATGTCTAGTTTAATGCTGCTCATATGCTCACTTTTCCATACAACAATGTCATGTAATAAAACAACGGTATAACAATTAATTTTATGTTATAATTCTTACTTGAGATTCGTACTCGGGATATTTTTTAACGGCATTAGTTGTGATGTAAGTCAGTAAGTCAGTTCAACAATAAATATAGTCTCCGGTTCTCTACACTCACCATACGAAACACAGCAGCATTAAGCTACTATTTGACGCTGGTATTCTGTGAGAGCGTGGTCCTTCCCCGGTCGAGCCGACCCATTTGTGCTGCAACTATACTACTAATATAACTGCAGCATGGCTCTACCACGTATAAATCTAAACAACGACTGTTGTGGCTTCGGAACAGTCCCGATATAACATCCTTTTCCTAAGTGTTTCCTATCCTCCCGCCTCCCCCCGTATACGCACTGCTCAGAATGGTGCGCCACCTATCGTCGAGAAAAAAAGAGGCAAGATGGCCGCGCTCGCATAAAACGTGTTCGTTACCGCTTGTTTAAAAATAACCAATAAATAAGTTGTAAGACTATCGTGCAATTGCTCGTGTCCATATACATTCGAAGTGCAGTGTGGTATCTGTGTATACACGAGAACTTCAGCCTAAATATACAGACTTCACCATAACCACGATGAGTGCTCCAGTCTTGTGAGTATCCTTACCTTATCTACCCAGTTCTAAAGCTATTTTCGTTTACTTCCCGGTTGGGATCATCGGGTTAGCCAGCCCTTGGTCTGGTTGTTCTCTGGTTCCCAAAACCACCCACGAAACACATTGCGAAACATTCAAGCCATAACATAATTTCTGGTCCATACGATCCGGGTACCTATGGATTTATATTTTTATACAGTCCGCTCCTCATAAAGATAATATCAAGTTCAATTTCTAAGGAAAACTTTGATATTTAATCTATTTTTCTTATAATTGAAAGTAACTAATTCATTTCAATTATAATCCTGCTAGACTTGAATGCTCGTGAAGTGTTTCGTATTGCTCAGACTTTGCAGACTTATCTTATTTGGTTGCGTTATAATTGCTAAGTTTATTTCGAATGTGCATTGATAGTCTTACGCTTTGAAAATTATTATAATTTGGGGGTATTTTATAATTATTGTTGGAAAAAATTACTAAATCAGTTTATGGAAATGATTAATTTGGTCTTAGAATAATAGCACTTAAGTATAAATACTTGTATATCTATGAATGTTGGGTCGTTTGTTAATTGTTATCTAATTCAAATGGTTAAAAAAAAAACGTTAACATTAAATTCAGTATTTGAATGTTAATTTAGTTTGGAGAAACTTAAATATTGTTTTAAATATCTGTCGTTAATAATTATACTTAACATTCATATTTAATTTTTCGCTGTTATTTTATAATCATGTCGCAAGAAGAAATGAAACTTAAACTTTATACGTCACAGCGAGAGTATGTTTTTCGTTCTATTCAAACTCTTTTCGATTTATCCACTCAAATACGGGAAGACTCCAGTTCTTCTAAAGTTAGCCAATTTAAATCTAGATTTCTTAAAATTGAGAACATTCGTGATGAATATGTGTTGCTTACGGAAAAAATTAATTCGTTAAAACTGGCACTGTTTCCTAAAGAAAAAATAGATATGCAAGCGTTGTCTGCATTTGATGATATGTACTATGAAGTTCTAAGTTTTGCCGCGGAGATGTCCCTACCGGAGCGCAAACGAGGCAGCAGCCCAACGTCCGCTGACGTTAACTACACCTTTACGCCTGACGCGGAAAAGGTACAAGCTAGACTGCCACAAATTGAGCTTCTGAAGTTCGACGGAAAAATTGAGAATTGGCAAACATTTTACGACACTTTCGTAACGTTAATTCATAATAATAAATTAATCGCGAATATTACTAAATTTCATTATCTCATTTCTTGTTTATCGGGATCCGCTTTAGGGATCGCAAAGAAGGTAAAATTAACTTCCGATAATTATGAGCTTGTATTCAATGAACTTATTAAGCGTTATCAAAATAAGCGCATTTTAGCAGTGGCGTATTTAGATCAAATAAATAACTATCCTTATTTAAAAACTCCTAATTTCAATGATTTACAAACATATACTAATATTCTTTGTGAGTCAGTCAATGCCCTTAAAGCCTTAGAGCTAGATGACTTAGGCGATTTTATTTTATTTAACGCAGCGTTTCGCGCACTGGACTCCGATACGCGCCACCGCTTCGAATCTGAAAATAAATCGGAAATTCCTTCTTTTCAAAGTCTTATGCAGTTTCTTCAAAACTATGTAAAAGTTTTAGAAATAAATGCTAATGTTGACATTAGGGCGCGATCTTCTCAATTTTTAGGCGGTAAACAGATCAAGACTGTTTCACCGCGGGCACCGAACCTGAAACGTTCCGTGCTCACTACTCAGTCTAAGCCTACTAGTTCGAAGCAGCTGGCTTCACTAGAGTGCTATTATTGTGGCGCAGCACACAGTATCTATAAGTGCCCCACTTTTCAATCTTTGGACACCAGTGCTAGAATAAATATTGTCAAACAAAATAATTTATGCATTAACTGTTTACGAAAACATTCTCTTGATAAATGCGTCTCAAAAATGAGATGTTTTATCTGTAGTGGTAATCATCACACTCTGGTACACATCGACAACCAAGTTCGATCACCGACCGCGGTGACCACCGGTTCGAGTAGTGCCCACACTAACACGAGTGCGTTCGTGGGAGAGGCTCGTGGCCCGTGCGTGGTGCTGCTCGGGACGTGCATGGTGCGTGTGCAGGACTCTAGTGGCACGTTCCATCTAGTTAGAGCGCTCATCGATAGCGGCGCTCAAGACTGCTTCATCACCATGAAATGCGCAAAGAGACTTGGTTTTCAATTACGTCGATGCACCACAACTGTGGCTGGACTTGGACAACAGTCTGTGTGTCAAGTCAAGGGAGTGACTCAATGCTCTATACGCCCGTGTGATTCGAATGACCCACAATTTGATATTAATCCTATAGTCATCGATAGCATTACTTCTAAAATGCCAACCACTGATATTCCTCTAGCGGTTCGAGACTGTTATAAACACTTAGTATTAGCGGACCGTGACTTTGACAAACCGTCTGATGTTGATTTATTGCTAGGTGCTGAAGTATTTCATCACATCTATGACGGCCGTGTCATTCAACCAGAGCCCGGCTATCCTGCTGCTTTACATAGCGTCTTTGGTTGGGTTCTCTCAGGACCCACCAATGTGGAGAGTCCGGTAAAATCGGTTGGCACTTCGTTAATTACTTCAACCAATTCATTGGAGAAGATGATGAAACGATTTTGGGAAGTCGAGGAACCGCCTCATCAACATATACCTGCTCCAGAAGATGAGGAGGTCGAACGCCTGTATTCCACTCAAACTTATAGGGAATCGGACGGTCGATATGTAGTCCCTATCTTATTGACGCAGTCGTCTGTCTATATGGGAGGCTCATATAATAGTTCTTTGTCGCAGTTTATAAATCTTGAGAAAAAACTTTGCCGACAACCAGATCTTAAATCACTTTATAACGATTTTATGCGTGATTATGAGCAGCTTAATCATATGCAACCAGTGGGAAAGGATATTACCCCTGGTAGATATTTCATTCCTCACCATTGTGTGATTCGTCCAGAAAGCATAACGACCAAACTTCGCGTTGTATTCAATGCGAGTCACAAGACGACTAATGGACTATCTTTAAATGATATTGTTTACACTGGACCGAAGTTACAGGCTGATTTGGTTGACATTATTACTGGATTTCGGGTCCATAATATAGTTTTTACATGTGACATATCTAAGATGTACAGGCAAATCTTGATAAGGCCTGAGGATCGAGTGTGGCAACACGTACTATGGCGTGAATCCCCTTCCTTGCCTGTTCAAGAATTTGAACTTCGTACGGTCACATACGGAGTCAAAAGTTCGCCGTACTTAGCGATACGAACATTACATCAGTTAGCTGCAGATCACGGTGATCAGTTTCCTCATGCAGCTGAAGCTCTTCGGCATCATACTTACATGGACGATATTACTACAGGTGCTTCCTCAGTCGAAGCAGCCTCTCAACTAAAAGAAGATTTAATCAATCTTCTTAATTGTGCTCAGCTAGATTTGCGTAAGTGGAGCAGTAACAGCCCTTTATTTCTTCGATCGTTACCCATGGAACATTGTCAGTGTCCGAAGACATTTTCTGATGATAGTTCAATAACGCTTAAGGTTTTAGGAGTTCAATGGGATCCTGCGGAAGACTATTTCACTTACTCCGTCTCTCCTGTGAATGTGGAGTTTACGAAACGTTCAATCCTGTCCCACGTTGCTCGTATTTATGATCCGTTGGGTTGGCTTTCACCTTTTATTCTTTTAGCCAAACTACTTCTTCAAAACTTATGGCGTATTGGATTGTCTTGGGATGAAATCATTCCCGCCAATCTGTGTGACGATTGGGTTTCATTTGTGTCTGACTTGTCTAATATAAAATCGATAAAAATCCCTCGTAAAACCGTGATTGATTTAACAGCTACACACCAGCTGATTGGGTTTTGCGATGGATCAACCAAAGCATATGGGTGCTGTGTCTATCTCCGATCAAGTATCGATGATCAAAAACAAGTTTCTCTTTTGATTTCTAAATCTAAAGTGGCTCCGATTAAGCCTCTAACAGTTAATCGTTTGGAGTTGTGCGGTGCGCTCTTGTTATCACGTACTCTCAAACACATGCAAACTTTACTTATTTCGAAAATAAATATATCTCATATTGTTGCCTACACTGATAGCTCAACTGTATTAGCTTGGATCAATACAGAGCCATACAAATTGAAACCTTTTGTTGCGCATCGAGTAGTTAAAATAACTGACGCAGTTGAACCTTCTACTTGGAGGCATGTCTCGACTCAGGACAATCCTGCTGACTTTCCTAGCCGAGGTCTCTCGTGTGCAGAA